ATCATCTGCTGCACACAGTTCTGATCACTTATTATCAATAGGAATTTTATTGATAATTATCATGAGGAGTCCTTAACTAGAATGTAGTTAGGCAATTAAATATTCATGTATGTGTAACTTTATTACCATAATTGAAGGTGAGTCATGTAAATTTATGTTTTCATAAAACAAGTACCCCCCCCCAAGACCAATTTCCTAGGGGAAACACTGCATCAGTCATGATGGGCAACGTGAGATCATTGGGGAAAAAGTTGGACGAACCTCATGACCTAACAAGAACCCAGCCAGAGTATCAGGAATGCAGTTTTATGTGTTTCACTGAGACATGGCTCCAGGATTATATCCCTGACTCCAGCGTTTTTCTGCCAGGCTTTCTGACCATATGAACTCTGAACATCCTCTGCATCAGACTGTCACACTACAACAGTCTTCAGTCAAAGCATCTTCAGATCTGCTAAGCCGTACCGATGTGATGTAATGAGATAATGCTGTTTTAATGAAAGAAAATGACCACCTTGTACCAGGTTATGGAATAGTTGTAATACCCACTGAGTACATGTACATTACATGTACATTGCATACATGTAATGTTATTTGGCTGGATTGACTTGTCCACGGCCACTTGACATGCGTTTAACCCTTGGTTGTGATCCAGTCAAAAATGAGATTTTTGTTTCGACGTTAGGACATGAAAGGGTTAATTATTTTAAAAAGGCCTTGGCATGTGTGTAAAATACCATCTAAACTTGTAATTTTATGTGACAGATCGTATTTTAACCCTCACATTTCCTTGCACAAAGGACATGAATTTTGTGAATTTCCAGCTGTCCCTGCTCACTGGAGTGTGAAACGTTAACTAAGATTTTGGTGTCAGTGGAAGCAGACTGATCCCCTCTACCAAAGGTTACGCCCACATTTTCAAAAATATCTATTTTTTGGTGATTTTTCTGAGAGTATCATTTTTTCTGATGCACCCTGTAGAATTGAATTGTGTGTCTTGTTGAAAAATACACTTCTTTAATTATTGAAGTTGTGTTCATGGTTTCACCAAAGCAGCTACAACTTCATCTCGGGTTAGGGTTACCCACTACCTATTTTAATGAAAGATGGTGAACGATACGTATTTCTTCAAGAAATGCCAGGGCCTTTAACTAAAACTGAAAGTGTTAATCTCAGTTGTGCTGTAAAAAAATAAAATTAAAACTTGGTAACAGTTAGCCTCATATTGGCTTTAGCTGTATTTACCTGAACCCATTGTTTTTATTATCGGTTTGTATTTTCAGTATATCTCTTTTGTTCTTTAAGACTTCTGCATCTTTTGAGCTTTAAAAAGTTCTGTAAAATCTCAAGCTGTTTTGTTGGTGCTCAGTTGGTTGTGTAGAGTCTGCTGCGTGTTAAACACCCCCTCCTGGGTGCAGAGCAGGTCAGTTCCCCAGGTGACTGGGCCAGGCTATCACCTGCATAATCAAGCTGAGCTGAGCGAGGTCTTCAGCCTGAAACAGTCCAGTTGTAGGTTCCTGTTGATATTTTCATGACTCCGTTCAAAAGCCAGCCATGCTCTGCACAAAGTCCAGATGCTGTGCAGTAGACCGTGTTAACATGAATGTATTGTAATCCACATTTAAACTAATGTTTGTTTTATCTACTTTATTTGGTTAATGAAAACAGTTTTCCACATTAATAGATTGGATTTCTTGAGAATCCTGATAATTTCCTCTAATACCAGCATAAACGTGTTGAAGTTGACAGTTTAGCTGACTGGATCTCTCTCTCCTGCAGACTGTGCGTCATGGTTTTCCACATCAACCGTCCTCCATGGCTTTTGACCCCGTACAGAAAATCTTGGCAATTGGGACTCAGACTGGAGCTTTGAGACTGTATCCTTTTTGCTGTGAAGAATGAAGAGGAATGAAGAGGAAATTAAGGTTTGGGTAATTCAAGTAATATAATTTTAGGTCCTTATTCGCCTTTGGATGTATGTACACACAGACACATCAGTATCAACAACCGCAACTCCAGCAATGTTAGGATGATGTGTAAAATATACAGTAGCTTATAAACCTAAATTTTATTCAAAATTAAACACTGTCCACTTATCACATTAAAATATTGTTCCAGATGTTTTCCACTGAAACATTTTCGACACATCACACTAGTCAAGTTGTATGGATTATCCATAAATTACCGTACACAGATTTGTCCTAACTGTAATTGGCAAAGGTCTTGCTGTGGGCAGAGTTTTCACTAACTGACTGGTGGAGTTCTTGGTGTGGGCGGAGTTTGCTCTAATCATGTTTGGTAGTGTTGGTGTTTGGGCGGAGTTTGTCATTCAGCGTTCCACTAAGTAAGTCCGAATGCAGAACGCAGAACATGATTTCTTTTGTCCTCTGCTGTTTTTTGAGCCAAAATCGATCTGTGCCTCACTGGAAGAGGTGGTAGGTTTGTGGTGTTGCTCTACAGCCAGCAGGTTCCTGGGAGGCCCCAGCCCCTGAACGGGCCCTCCACTGTATGTTGTTGACATACCAACCTCCTCCACTGTGCTGCCCATCCAGTGCCAGGATGAAACTATTTGTGCTGTAAACAGAAGTGGACACACAAGCTTCAAGCTGCCACATTGTGTGTGACTCAAGCAGCTGGTTTTGTATGTGTTTTTACAGTAACCCTCAGGCCTCAGTAGCTCAACACGCTGCCTCTGCTCAGTAGGCACTTTTCCATTGCTTAGTGCAACACCACTTGGTTCTTATCTGGTTCTACTTGGTTGTAGGTGATTTGCCACTGTACCTGTGTCCTTGCTTTGTGGGCAGCATCTTCAATGCAAAGTATCTAACTGCTAGCAAGCTAGCTGCTAACTAGTTGGTGTTGGAAAATTTCTGTAAATTATTTTGGTTTTAGCTTGCTCTAAATGCTCACACATCTGCCAGTATATTACGTCATCCAGGGTGGTTCATGTAGCTTCACTGGCCAATCAGTGACTGCCACATGCTTTGGCACACCACACCCCAAATAGTGCTGACACAGCAGAACCACCTCAGTGGAGGTTCCACAAACCAGACTGAAAGGGGTTGGGAGCAGAAGACCTTAAACTAGTGTGGAGTGGGATGGAGTCGAAGAGAACCAAGCCTGTGAAAAAGTGGCTAGGTTTGACCTGCGAGAGCATTAACCCTGCCTGGGAGGCCCACATTGTTTAGCTGTTCATTAGTAGAGGCTTCGTCCTTGTCTTTATTCACTCATCAGATTAAGAGTGCTTTTGTTTTCGCGTGGTGACTCCCAGCTAACACACACAGTATCTATGTAGCCGTAATTTGCCAGGTGAAGCTGATGGGATTACTGTCACTCAGGTAATTAGGCCATTTATCAAAGACGAGCTGTATCGATCCACCTTGTTGCCTCTGGAGTTTGAAAACACTGTTGCGGTTCGGAAGACATGAGCTCAATGAGGTCTCTACAAGCAATAAACGTCTGCTTTGACATGATCTGTCTCTGCTAGTGTTTTAATTGACATGTTGTTGTAGACATCTTCCTTTAAAAAAAGGTTACTGATGATGAAGAAACTATTAGTTCTGCTTTCTACTGAAGTGGCTCAAAAAACATACTGCAAAAAAACAAACATACTGCAAAAAAACAAACATCTTCCTGCTTTTCCCACATTTTTTTTGCCACGTGGTCAGTGTTGACAGGAAACACTTGGGATTATGTCAAACTAGAAGTTGTTTCTTTTGTTTGTCTTTATTGCCTGCAGTGTCATGAAGCACCAAACAAATACTGGACCTGTCAAAGTTCTCTCTGGATGTACAACTTCAACTGATTACTTTCAGAACCAACTCATTTCAAGATGGCTGCCACAGCTAATCAACATTTGCTAACACAAACAGACTATAACTCAGGTTTACAGATGTAGTAAATTGGTATGGGGGTGGTACCTTTTACTTTAAACATTGGAATATCAACTAGGACTGGGCAGTGTTGGTCAAAATAATTCATGATTAATTGTGATATTTAGCTGATGATGATTAATTTGATAATACAATGGAGTCCCTGCATGCCCTAGTCACATGACCAGTTTAAGGTCGTATTCACACCTGCACTGTTTAGTCCGATTTAATCGAACTCTAGTTCGTTTGCCTGGAAAGTCCGGTTCGTTTGTGGAGATGTGAACACGTAATCGAACTCTGATTCGGACCAAAAAAGTGAACTCTGGTCCGCCTGAAAACCTACCAGTAGGTCTCGGTTCGATTGAAACGAACTCTGGTGTGTTTCGATTGCATGTGTGAACGCTAAGCGGACCAGAGACCACTCCAAAAGCAGGAAGTGGACTATACCGCATGACGTTCTGAGTAACAACAGTATTAAATGTACTTATATGGTGTAAATACCTCGCTGGACAACTGTATAAGGTGGACATCATGACTGTGGAGCTGGACGCGCTCCTACTCGATTAACACGGAGCTTCCTCAGCCGCCTTGTGTGCAAAACAATAATCTCCGTGGTTCCGCCTCATCTTCCTCTCATGCTGAGCTCATTGTTGAAGACTATTTGTTTAGCACATTTGCCAAAAACAAAAAAGAAACCCTATAACCACTAAAATGTAACGTTACTATTGTTTGTTTACATTTTGTGAAGAAGGAAGTTGCGCTCCATGTCTTCTTCTGAGGTTTTCATGTTGATTCCTTCAGTGGTTTTTTTGTGCAGCGCCCCCACAGGTGAGGGCGGGAACAGGTTTACTGGGTTTAGTTCGGTTGAGAAAGTGCAGTGTGAATTCAAACCGCACCAACAGAAAGCTTGCAGTTTTGGTCCCCAATCGAACCGAGTCTACCGGACTATCAGGTGTGACTACGACCTAAATCACTCTAGTGGGAAAGATTTGCTCTCCGTAAAAATCTGTTCCAAATTGTGTCAGAAGTACAGACTTCAGTCTATACATAAATCTCATAATTGTGCTGATCGGCCAAGTAGTACGAAGCCCACGAGGGGACATGGGGGATGTTTTTCTTTTGCCTTCCCACGCAATAGTATTGTGTTACCTAGCAATACATTTTGCGTTCCTTCGCAATAGTCATTTATCACTATTGTGCAGCTGGTTTGTAACCAAATTCACATGCTCTCCATTAGCGAGTTAGCCTACCACTTTAATTCAGCTTCAGAATGAATATATCACACAGCTCCACATGGAAGTATGTCATATGCAGATATTTTAACTAGGGTTGGGCAATATTGGCAAAAAAATTAATCACGATTAATTGTGGTATTTATCCGATAACGATTAATTTGATGATTAATGCCCTGGAGTCCCTGCACACCCGTCCTAGTCACATGACAAATTTAGTGGGAAAGATTTGCTCTTCGTAAAAATCTTTTCCAAATTGTGTAAAAATTACAGACTTCAGGCTGTACATCAAATTCTAAATTATGTTGCTATATAAATAAATTACAGAACTTTTTTTAAATGTTCATCATATTTGAAGCGGAGAGGAGCGCTGAGCAAACTCTGTCTGATGGCATTAATCATATTAATCGTCAAGTGCCAAAAAATAATCGATTAATGTTTTTCTGACGATTAATTGCACACGATACGATTATGCCCAACCCTAATTTTAACACAGTGCAGCCACGCAACATCAGTGTCAGTGTCACAAACTTGTGGCGACACATCCTATTTTGGTAACCTGATATTTCAAAATAAAAGTTTGATTTAATTTAGTTCATACAAAACAAACCTTTGCATGGGAACGCAAAACAATATTGCGAGGTAACGCAAAGGTATTACAAGGTAAAGCAACAATATTGCATGTGAACACAAAAGAACAAAATCCCCCTTGTCCTATCGTGGGCTCTGCAAAGTAAAACTGGAGTTATGATAAATAAATTGCAGAACTTTTAGAAAAAATGTTTGTCGTATTTGAAACAGAGATGAGCATTGAGTGGACTTCCCGTGGAAATCCCTCGTCAGTCTGCCTGGTGGCATTAATTGTATTAATAGTCAAGTGCCAAAAAACAATCAATCAAAGGTTTTCTGATGATTAATTGCACACGATTCTATTTTACCCAACTCTAATGTCAACAAGTCCTTTGTTACCTTGTGGGACAGAGTCACATTGATAGAAACATGTGAAACTCTCCCTGAACGGACTGCATACTGTCTGCCTGCTGCAGCAGGTGACTGGTCATGCTTAAAGTCAGGAGGTTGTTGACCATTTGATGTAGAAACACTGTGGATGTGATCACTGTTGCTTCCTGCTCTTTTGAAATCTGACTTTAGAATGACTGTGGAAAACAGTGTTGTAGCATTTGTAAAGTAGGACGCTAAAGAAAACTTCCTGTCCAGATAATGGACTTCAGAAGGAAATGCTGCTGATAACAAAGCAAAATGGGGAAGTGTTGATGTTTGAGGGGGATGACTTAAGTCTTAAGACCAAGACTGTTGGAAACAAAGAGAAAATTCTTTTAAAAGTTCAGTGAGTTCATTGTTGGCAAGTTGTTTCTATAGACTGTCCTTTTAAAACCCTGCTTAAAGGGATCCCTGATTAGTTGTAACATTAGACTTTTTTTATTTAATAAACATATTTTTTAACTGTAAAATAAAGAGTGTAAAAATTTATAGGCTGTTTAGTTTTTATAATTTTTAAACTAAAAATTTAAAAATATATTACACGGACGGGGCCATTTTATTTACACACAAAGCATTCTGGGTAAATAATGACATGGATAGGTCCTCGATGCGAGGCTGCTAGCGAGCTATATCCACCCTTAAGGTTAATCTTGGACAATATCTGATGATCGACTCTTTTAAATGAAACCAGAGAGCGTTGACAGAGAGGAGAAGGTAGAAATGWCTCAGCCTGGAACTGAAAATATGGATGGAGGACAACAGAGCTGCTTC